GCTTTCTACGACTGGGTAATAATTCACAGTATATAGTCGGGAAGCCAGTTTCACATAATCGGAAATTCCTTATGTTTCTGTTTTTTCCATATTTTTTTGGATGGAAGCGATTTCATATCTTTCACGAGACTTGCCATTTTTGCTCGTTCCAGGATTTCTGGTGGTGTAGAAATAATTTCTTCGTAATGGCTTGACATTTTTGAACTGAAACTGAGAAATATCAACCGAAAATAGTCCTTTTCAAAATATATTACTTGCCTGCTTTCGGTTTACATTGATAACTTGATTCATTGTTGGAAAGATAAGTACCTACTAAGTCCGATTCTCTAAGAAGTGATTAACAGGGTGACTGAATTAATAATCTTATTGTTGAGAACTTTTTCACCCACCCCAGATTTTCCACTATTGATATTTGGTATTCTACAAAAACAGCATTTATCAATGTGGTCGTTTTTTTACTTTTCCACTCAGTGTTATAAATAAAGCTGTGGAGTTAGTCGTTCTTCTTCTAATTAATTGATTATTGCTATTTCTGCCATAATAACGTCAATTTAACCTAACAATTGATAAATTCTACAAGCAATTAGGCAATCCAACGACCTGTCAAATAATTTCAAAATGGCGTCTGGTTGGCAAACAAACCAAAGGCAAGTCTGTTTACTTGATAATTTTGTGGGTTTTGGAAGCCTTTTAGAGTATTATTTTATTGAGTTTTGGTTAGATTTATTGTGAATAATGAAAACTCAGTATGATTTCGAAGAAAAAAATACAGTAACGTGGATTATGGAAGCCGTGCAGATCGGGACCATTTGCTATTTTGTCACATTCCTATTGTTATAAAAGTGTTTAAAGTGTTTTTAACCGCCAGCTTAGTTGCAAAGCAACCCTCGAAAGTCAGAGACTTGTGTGAGTTAAGAAGACGGGGACCTTAGCTTTTTAAGTGTCATCCGAAGCACTACTCGGCTGGTTATACTGTGAAAAACTCTGTACATTACCAACAGATGAAGGATCTATCAAGAAAAATATGGGAAATGTGGATAGCAGCCATCGAGAGAAAGGATCAGCAACAGCAAGTGGCAAACACTATTTTCATAACAGGTACCTAAGAAAAAGGATTTTGATATTATTTATATGTACTTACCTACTCTAGAACTGATGAGTTTAGTGTTTCATCCTATGGGTCACTATTAATAATAGGAGAGTATAATTATCAGGTAGTCTAGTCAGCTTCATCAAATATCTACAAACAAATTATGGTTGTATGATAGTTTCAGGAATGAAAATTTACTGGTTAGTTGGTAAAAATAGCCGAAAAAACAATAAATATTCATGTTTACCTCTGCTCAACCTCTGGGTTTTCCTGCAATAACTTCTTGAATTATGAACTAAGCATATTGAAGCACTGTTCAATTCAGCTCCGAGACTCCCTCAAACACCTGACACATAAAACTACCAGAATAATAGAGTGATTCGGGCAAAATACAATTCAATTACAAGTGATGTATAATCGTTGTTTGCCAACCAGACGCCATCTTGTCAGCTAAAATGTCACGTGGTTTGGATTGCCTAATTGGTTGAGACAGTGCTACATTAGGATCAGTCCCTAAGAAACCCTGATAGGACCCTTGTGCAAGTATCTGAAATACTAGGCATTAGTTATAAATATTCTCTGAGTACTCTCTATACTGATATATTACAATAACTTACTCTTACATGTAGTAGTACAAACGTAGCCCACCAACGTATTGTATCTGTGGTTGTATTAATGGTATTAGAAACCTCTAAAACCAATACTTTTGTCATGTGATAGATTTTTCGTTTAAGGATGGATTTGTTAAATCCCTCAAAATTCTATTGTGTGATTAACTTTTTTGTTTCCACAAATGATTAGGTAGGTATTTAATACTTTCATCTCCTTCAAATAGTGACACATTTTTTATTGAAATCCATAGCCACTCCTCAAATCACCAGAAAAAGATGGTGGATATCTGCCACCATAAATAGTGGAAAAAAACATGACAATTCATTATCCATCTAGGCCTTAGAGAATCAGTAAATCTGTGGATCAAATAACAACTGACCTTCTTATTGACCATTCGAATGACAGTTGTTGAAATAACCACGCTCTTAGTGAATCGAACCGATTCATCAATTACAATAGTATTCGTAGGAAATAGTAATTTTCCTAACAAGTGCGGAAAGTGATTCTTTTCCCGCACGCGACTGCCGTTGATACGAAAGACGCGAAGCGGAGTTCGGGCAAGCAGTCGAGTGCGGGAAAGACACTTTCAGCATGAGTTAGGAACAATATTTGTTTTACAACCGTAGGAAATTAATTGACTTATTCAATTAATTATTCAGTCATGAAGGAACAACTAACAAGAGAAATATATTCTTTATCTACTCATTATTAGTAATAGCTATTGTGAACTCACAGTTTGACGCATTAATGTATAGATTCATTGCGGAAGCCAGCAGGCCCATAAGGTGTTTGGTCTCTAGGTTTCAGACATACTTCTAGGAAATGTACGACGCGTCTGAACTGCCATCCTTGAAGAACTTTTTTTTTTTCACGAATATTTGCCTAATTTACAGTTGCAACTGTAAATTAGCACTAATTTACAGTTGCAACTGTAAATTAGGCAGAAGAAACTTTTTTTTTCTAAATATCGCCTAATTTACAGTTGCAACTGTAAATTAGCACTAATTTACAGTTGCAACTGTAAATTAGAGAGAGAAAACTTTTTTTTTCGAAAAACCTCCTAATTTACAGTTGCAACTGTAAATTAGCGCTAATTTACAGTTGCAACTGTGAATTAGGCCTAATTTACAGTTGCAACTGTAAATTAGGAGATATTTTGAAACAAAAGTTTCTTCTGCCTAATTTACAGTTGCAACTGTAAATTAGAACAAGAGAACTTTTTTTTCTACACATCTCCTAATTTACAGTTGCAACTGTAAATTAGAGTCTCACAGTCTCAGTGCTCACAATTTCTCACCAGACTAACAGACATAGGCAGCGCATTCTTCGATAGCACGCGATGGCGATGCGCTTTTAGAACAAGAAGTAATAGACTGTTGGCCCGCGACACAGGGTTTATCGATGTTCTAAGTCGGTATGCCATTTAAGGGACCCACTCATTTAGTCCAAGTTAACAGGAAGGAGTGCCTCGGAGAGTCGCAACCCAGTCCTTGCCCCGACCCTGACGTCACCTTTCAATGATCTTATCTAACATGTCTGTTAGTCTGGTGAGAAATTGTGAGCACTGAGACTGTGAGACTCTAATTCACAGTTGCAACTGTAAATTAGGAGATGTGTAGAAAAAAAAAGTTCTATTGTTCTAATTTACAGTTGCAACTGTAAATTAGTGCTAATTTACAGTTGCAACTGTAAATTAGGCGATATTTAGAAAAAAAAAGTTTCTTCTGCCTAATTTACAGTTGCAACTGTAAATTAGTGCTAATTTACAGTTGCAACTGTAAATTAGGCAAATATTCGTGAAAAAAAAAAAGTTTTTCAAGGATGGCAGTTCAGACGCGTCGTAGAAATGAGCCAAAAATCTTCTTTCATTTCTTTATTGTTGCACCATTCAATAAAACGCGTGTATAGCTTCTCATACCTTTCTTAAGACTTCGTTGGCCATAGCGCCAATCTGTATCGGATCCCTATAGCTGGAAGTTTTTGATCACATTGTGGCAATTCCACTGAATCGAAAATGACAGTAACGCTGTGTCTGTCACTTCGACAATTACAAACTCATTTGAGGTTTGATTGGCATGACAACAATAATCGTTTCCTATCAGATCAATCGAAATCTAGAGGGGAATTTTTATAATAATCAATATTTATTTTTCAATATTTTTTAATTTTCACAATAAATAGTGCAATTTGATGGATGATTCTGAACATAGAAACTTAATACGGCAACAAACAAACTCAAACTCTCATATTCCATCACCTACCACTTATATTTTGACATATTATCAATCTTTGTTTTTCCCGCACTAGTGTGGGAAAAATGTTTCCTCAATGTTGCGGGAAAATGCCACTTCCCAAACTATATTCCGTGCTGGTATAGGATGAATCACGCATGCTTGTAGAAAAATATTTTTTTCTACTACTGCTATGAAAAGTAGCGCATTTCTCATAGCTTACTTAGTTTCAAAACCATGTATTGCCCATACTGTGCTGTGAGGAATATTTTTTCTCACGGCACTTTGCAAACACCACATACATTTCCATGGAGTATCAACAAAAATCGACCAGAACTTGGCTGCTGTTCAGCTTTGAATAGTTGTCACAACTGTCAGAAGAAGTTTTTTAAATTCTTAAGGGTAGTTCTCATTAGTGCTTTCAATAGAAATCGCATTTTCCATCAAATATTGTTCCAACAATTCATAATAATTAATATGATATATACCGAGATGTGACGATTTTGATACATACACCGTCAGAGACAGAAATAAAGGAAAAAGATGCGAAAGTTGGATTTGTTTCCGGAAATTTCAAGAAAAAAGTGTGAATTGGCATATTGGTACGAAAAATGTATGGAATCTAAAAAAAATACAAAAATAAAATCTTTTTCGGAAAGTGTACTTTTTTGAAATACTTTGAGGAACTATATAGGCGTCTACTCTTTGGTCACAATATTCAATGTGGCATAGTGCCACATTATAAAATGAATACCAATAAGTTACATTACTCGCCGGATTCTTTGAATAAGTGCAGTTGTAGAAAAAGTATAGTGTGCAACATGTGGGGAAAAGCACTTTTCTCACTCGTGCGTTTTTATGAATCTTATTCACTTATTCACTCCACTTCGAGATATCACGGCATTCTACCGTAGATTACAGGATTATTGAAACAATAATACAATAATTTTCAGGGCATTATCGATTTCACATGGTGTTCTTCATCGTCCTTGTGAAACGGTCCCACGGACTAAAATGTTGCGCGCGCATATACTCAAAACGAGGGTGTAAAGTTCCTGATCCTCCGTGGAGTCACCTTCGAAAAGCCATGGATTCGCACACGTTCAAATGTTTTTTACCATATATGCTCCGCCGGTCGCCGTGACCCCGCGATCTAGAAAAAAAACCGGCACCCTGTAGAAAAAGTGCGGGTCAGTGCAAGAAAAAACGAATTTTCACCGCAATTTTGCCTTACAAATGCCTTATTTTTCTTTGTCAACGACGCTTCGAGCTGTGGTATTTTTCGACTGTAAATAGTTAGGCCGTTTTAGCGTTAGCTTTATGTTGAGTGGGCTGGAAATTTTTCGTTTGTTTTTCGGTGTCGGCTTCAGTGACAATGCCTTGCTTTTTTGGAAATGTTTTATAAGTTTTCGCTGATATGCCAGTGAGAAGAGGACTGATAGCCCCACGTACTACACTGATCGAAACAATAATAAAAAAATTTGATACTGACAGTAAGTAATCGAAAAAGCTATATCTGTATATCAGTTTAGAATCATTAGTTGTACTTTATATATCAACAATCATCTCGACTAAAGATTTGCATGGGCTACAAAATCATTGTCAGAGCCAGCACAATATACAGGGTGTTTTGATTGTGATCGGTAAAATTTAATGTGGACTACCCTAATAACACATTTATGTCCCATGGATATCCTAAGGCCGTTCTGTCGGGACATTCAGTACGTCCATAGGACGTTCAAATTTGGTCCATTGGACGTCTGTGGAACGCACAAATGTCCTTCTTGAGGACCAACTAGGGAGGACGTCCTTGAGGGATGTCCCTGGGTCAACTATCGAATACCTAAATCCTACAGTATTCTCCATCAAGCACTACAGAGGACATCCTTAGGACATCCATAGGACAACCTATCAGCAACGCTGAGGGATGTCCCAGGGACGTACGAATTATTCTTGAATTTGAATTTTCCTGGGTCCCTCTAGGACGAGATCTTGCATAACTGATTAGGACATCCAATTGAGTTGATGGTCCGTAGAAGGTCCCCAAAAAGTTTACCACGGATGTTCATTGGACTCACGTGAAGGACATTGACGAGGAGTACTTATAGCCTACGAGCCATCATTCGTCGGCGAGGTGTAAGTAGACGTCCTCGCAGGAACAACATATTGAAAGTACCGACTGGGACGTCCATAGGACGTTATTTCTAGGACATTGGAAGAGTACAGTTCATGTACCAATTGGGACATCCGACGGATATCCCTAAGGGACATTCGAAGGATGTCCCTATAAGGGACATTTCGATTGTTATACTATCCTGGAAATATTAAGGGCGTCTGTGCAGAGATATTTGAAGGAATGTACCATCATGGTTGTCTAGAAGGGACATTATATAAGATCTGAAGTAATGCCAGAATATGTACTACTCGGGACATCCGATGGATGTCCCTAAAGGAACGTTTAAAATCATATCTCATCAGGGACATGCCAAGGACGTCCTTGCATGGACATTCTACAATATGTACCACGTGGGACGTCTAAGGGATGCTATATTTAGGACATTTGAAATGATGTACCAACTATGACATTCCGTGGACTTCCTTGCTCGGACATTGCATGAGATGTACGGGATGGGACGTCCAAGGGACACTTATTTTTGGTTCGAGACATTCGGACGTGAATTGTACCAAATTGGGACGTCCCTAGGACTTGTGTGCTATTAGGGTATGTAGTATGTTTTGAAGCTTCGTTTTCTATGTAGTTTTTTTTTTCTGTGACGGAAAAAAAATTCGAAGTTTTATATCTGTTGACAAGTTATAAAGTGTCACTTTTCCTAAATTACTTTTTTCTTGGATATACAGGGTGGCATTGAAATAAAGTGCAAATATTTCAAACACTGAGAAAGCTCGACGTATACTATCAAATTACACTAATAAAAAAAATTAGGGATCAGAATAGAATTTGAGGTTAGACCCTTTTTCCCAAGGGGTAAATCTCCTTGGAAGTCTGGTGTACACTCCTTTGGAAGTCTTTGGAATTCTTTGGATGTCTTTGGAAGTCTTTGGGAGTCTTTGGATGTCTTTGGAAGTCTTTGGTAGTCTTTGGATGTCTCTGGAAGTCTTTGGATGTCTTTGGAAGTCTTTGAAAGTCTTTGGGAGTCTTTGAAAGTATTTCGAAGTCTTTGGATGTCTTTGGAAGTCTATGTTAATTGGAAGTCTGGTGTACACATTTTTCCTGGAAATTTACCCCTCGCTTTTTCCACTCAAAGTTCTACACTGTAGCAAATCTGACGTCACCTCTGTTCAAATTTCCATGCGGTAGGCAAAATCACGCGGCGTTCAATCATTGAAATTGTTTTACAGTGGCGTACTTGATTCTTTTCTCGTATTTTTTCAATTTTTGGGATGAAATTTCTCGTTAATTAGGAGAATTAGAAAACATCTGATACCATGGGAATACTCCTTAGCCTGTATCATATTAATGTGATGAATATGTGCACTTATTTCAAAAACACCTTGTATATCACATATATACAGGGTGAGTCAAAATGTATATCGACCCTTCTGGAGGTGATAGGACATTAAAAAATAAGTATAGTTTGATGAATAAACTAATGACCTAATATGTATATCAAGGGAGATATATCCCTCTAAAGTTGATTAAATTGAAATGATTTTTCCGCATAACTTTTGAACGGTAGAAGCCCCCAGACAGAATTTTCTCAATTTTAGAAAATCCGCCTGTGTCTAATCAACATTCTAAGCCTTTTCAAATTACTACAAGACATAGAGGGTAACGATTGGTTCTTTATTCCTATTCATAATCTTCAGTATTCCTATAACTATTCCCAGACTTGAATGCTATCAACGTTTGATAAATCTCAAGTTTTTGCCTGTGTCATGGTTACAGTTGAACATTATATTACCTCGAACTTTATATCTCTGATATCGGTTCTGATATAGCATACACAGAAATTGCAAGATGTTCCTTGATCCAAGTTTCACTGGATCTCCCAGTTTGACCAACATATGATAAGCCGCAATCGTTATAACTTATACTATATACTCCGTGAAATTTCTAACTGGTATCTTGAATTAAGAAAGAGGATATGAACCAGACCTGATATTTTTTGATTAAATGGAGTTGTTTTGTATCATATTATGAATATCTGCGTTGCATGTATGACAAATTGCTTTCAACTAAATTGAAATTTATCTACTTTTCAACAATGTGATCGCACGAAAACGCAAAAAAACATTTTAATAAATTGATCAGTAGAAAAAATCGAACATAAACTCGATTGACAAAAAACGCGATTCCCTTCATGCTAAATTCACATTATACATTACAGGGTGTTATTTTATCGTCATTTTCTCGAATATGATATCTATCAAATCTAAGTTCATTCTGTAGAGGAGCACCTAGATCACGTCATGTATTATTTCAATACTCATTGATCTCAATGAGTCACGTGATTTATTGAGATTCGTTATTCGAAGAGTGCGTCTCTCATGTATGTCAGTGTTTTCTTCAATTTTCTAGTGCTAGTTGTCATTTATAGAATCGTTATATGGGTATACAGGGTATGTCACGACGAGCTTGCACTATCTTTATATCGAGAATCAATCGGGAGAAATATTTCAGAGTACGCCATCCTCATTTGAAATATTTTCGACAAAGCAGTGTTGCCGCTTCTACTAGAAAGTAGTAGCAACATTGATATTTCAAATAGAACACCCTGTATTCTATCGCATTTCTAGATTCTTCCTGAAGAGTTGATTCCAACAATATATCATACTTGGGGTCTATCCAAATAGATTTCAGAGATATAGGGTGTTCAAAATCGATTTCTCAACTTTAGGATTTTTTTGTGTCGAAACTATCCATTATCGGTAAAAACGGCTCACATGTCCCTATCCCAACATTTGATTCACTATTTACATATATTTCATTGGAACAGATACAGGGCAGTTCGAGATTCAGAATTCCGATCTGATCGATAAAATACAATGTTTTTACATGCCTTTGGACGTTATACAGGGTGATCCACGGTGGATGGCCTATTAGAAGTATCTGGAGAACGAAAAGAAAGAACATTCTGAAAATTGGGATGCTCTGATAATTGAACATTCTCTATCCGTCTAAAATATTTTCATCGATATGGTGTTGGTGTTGTTTCTGATAGAAGTGGCAAGTGGAGCCTATATCTCGTTTAATAGTTAAATCAAGAAGCGAACAATAGTTGAATATGTTTAGTCACCGCATACGAATGTAATTGTTGTTTTGATCAAGAAAATTGGTTATCAACCAGATTTTAATCTCACAACATGTATATTAACCATCATTTTTGTCCCTTCACTTATATTTTGTATAGATAGTCATAATATTTGGTTCACCAACAAAGTGCATAGTAGATATAGGTATATTGACTATTTTTCAGGTTCTTGTACCACTGAATTAAAACAGATTTCGAATAAACATCAAGTTTATTCATTACATGGTGGTCAACTTTACAAAATATTAACAGTATAATTCTCTTCATTTGTAATTTCTCGTCTCCGTTATTATTTGTATGTACTCTTCCATTTATCCTTTATGACACTCAATGGACGTTATTCAATTGCTACCAGTTTGTCATCTTCTTCCTGCAAGAAATGTATAGAATCGAAATATGAATTCAATATTGAATTGAATGAATTCATCAATAATACTCACCATCACATAATTACGATCATCACATAATTACGATCATCTGATGAATTTTCCTCATCATGATTATTAATCGGGAAGAGTACATCAGTCCTGGTAATCCTTGACGAGAGATTTCAAAATTTTCTCAATCTTCTTGTATGGTTCTGGTACTTGTGATATACAACCTCCCTGGGGATTTATCCACTTCTCTGTAGGTATACTAAATGATCCAAAAATTGAAGAGAGTCCTGAGAAAAAGAGACGAACTTGAGCAATAATTTCATATACAGTGCGTTAGTGCGTTGAATCATTACCAAATTTAGTACTGAATTACAACTCGATATTGAATACAGTGATTACATTAACGACTCACCAAAATCATCTCATTGCAGAATAGGTATAATGTGAAATGATAATATCAAAATAATATAAAGCCACAACACAAAGAGCCAAATAAGACGCCAGCAACAAAATCTCATGTGGACGCTGTCGCCCTGTAAAAACCAATGAGAAGATCACAAGCTCATTGTCAACCCTTCAAAGAGTTCAGTTCAGTTATAGAACATGATATACCTAGTTTAAATACTATCTTTTGAGTGATTTGAAATAGTTGCAGGTTGATTTTACCTTCCTTTTCGTTTGATTACCAACTTTAACAGTGAGCAAGCTGTAATGATATTTTAGTTAAAATATAATAAAGTTTAGTTTGATTTGAAATACTTATATATTGATTATATCTTCCTATTCGTTTGTCTACCAAATATAACAGTGAGCGAGCTATCTTGATATTTCAGTTACATTTAT